CGAATCCCCCCCCCGTACCGGAGCCCGCGGGGCCGCGCACGCAGCAAAGCGCTCCGAGGCCGCAGCACAACGGCAGCAGCAGCAACGCCGCCATCGCCCCCAACTTCAGCGGCAGCTCCGTTCCTCCCGGGGGGGTCCGCGCGGCCCCGGGGCTCCACGACAGCGCCGCGACCCCGGGGCCGCTCCCCACCGCCATCCCGGAGCCGCCGTCCCGCTGCCGCCCTCCGGAGCTCGGAACGGGGAGGGGGTGAAGGGGGGGGGCGGAACCGGGCAAAGCTCCGCCTCGGGAACTCGGGGAAAACCCCGGCGATGTGGGCGGGGCGGGGGGGGGGCGGCTCCGAAAGGGGCAGAGCCAGAAAGCGGGCCGGACAGCCGGCAAAGCAGCGCCGCTCGGCTCCGGTTCGGGTCTCCGAGCTCCAAAGGAGGGGCAACAACAACCACCCCCCCGCGGCAGAGCGGCTTTCAGGGGGCTCGCCCCCAAACCCCCGCCCCATTCCCAGACCCCCCCACTGAGAGGAGGGGACGTCAGACGCACGTGTGACAACCCGGCATTTATTGCACAGCCCCAAAGCGGGGAAACCGCGCTGCCCCCCCGCGGCGCGGAGCGGCACCCGCAGCACCGCAGGGAACAGCGTCTGTCCGTGGGGTGACAGCAGGGCGGCAGCCACGGAACCACGCCGTGTCCGTGGGGTGACACCTATGGGGGGGTCACCCCGTCCACGATTGGCGGCTCTAAGGGGTCCCGTGCCGTCCCGGTGCCCCGGGTGCCTTCAGATGGATTCGATCTGTTTGCGAACCTTTTCCAGCGCCCTCCGATCCAACGCCCGCTGCCTCCAAACCACCAACACGGCGCAGGCGGCGGCCAAACACATCATGGAGCCCACGAAACGCCAGAAGATCCGCGCCTCCATCACGGCCGAGCGGCAGCTGAACCCCCGCGGTCACAAAGCGCCACCGCTGCGCCCAGGTTGGGGGGGTTCCGAGCCCCCCCCCCCACGACCCCACACCCACCTCTTGTATTCGTCCCGCTTGGAGGCGGCGCAGCTGATCTTCTCCACGAAGCCCGTGGGGCCGCATTCGGGGATGCTTTTCTGGG